AAAAAAATACATATTTGCTCAACTTTTTAACATTGTCACTTTTTGCACAAAAGTGCTTATCTCGCCAAGTTAAGCACTTAGTGCAAATTTTTGACTTTACGCCACATTTCGAGTACTGTTCCGAAAAACACCAAACTTTCAAAGGAATAGTGTTTGTTTCAGGCTATCTCACCGTCCCTAACAAAAAAAAAACAAACATTTTGACTCAACTTTTTAACATTGTCACTTTTTGCACAAAAGTGCTTATCTCGCCGAGTTGAGCACTTAGTGCTAATTTTTGACTTTCCGCCATATTTCGAGAACCTTCCAAAAAAACTTCAAACTTTCAATGGAATAGTGTTTGTTTCAGGCTATCTCGCCGTGCCTTACAAAAAAAATTACATTTTGACTCAACTTTTTAACATTGTCACTTTTTGCACAAAAGTGCTTATCTCGCCGAGTTGAGCACTTAGTGCAAATTTTTGACTTTTCGCCATATTTCGAGTAATTTTCCGGAAAACTCCAAACTTTCAATGGAATAGTGTTTGTTTCAGGCTATCTCACCGTCCCTAAAAAAAAAAAAACATTTTGAATCGACTTTTTAACATTGTCACTTTTTGCACAAAAGTGCTTATCTCGCCGAGTTGAGCACTTAGTGCAAATTTCTGAATTTTCGCCATATTTCGAGTACTATTCTGGAAAACTTCAAACTTTCAATGGAATAGTGTTTCTTTCAGGCTATCTCACCGTCCCTAACAAAAAAACATTTTGAATCGACTTTTTAACATTGTCACTTTTTGCACAAAAGTGCTTATCTCGCCGAGTTGAGCACTTAGGGCAAATTTTTGACTTTTCGCCATATTTCGAGTACTATTCTGGAAAACTTCAAACATTCAATGGAATAGTGTTTCTTTCAGGCTATCTCATCGTCCCTAACAAAAAAAAAATACATTTTGACTCAACTTTTTAACATTGTCACTTTTTGCACAAAAGTGCTTATCTCGCCGAGTTAAGCACTTAGTGCAAATTTTTGACTTTTCGACATAATTCGAGTACTTTTCCGGAAAACTTCAAACTTTCAATGGAATAGTGTTTGTTTCAGGCTATCTCACCGTCCCTAAAAAAAAGTACATTTTAACTCAACTTTTTAACATTGTCACTTTTTGCACAAAAGTGCTTATCTCGCCGAGTTGAGCAGTTAGTGCAAATTTTTGACTTTTCGCCATATTTCGAGTACCTTTCAAAAAAACTTCAAACTTTCAATGGAATAGTGTTTTTTTCCGGCTATCTCACAGTCCCTAACAAAAAAAAATTACATTTTGACAAAACTTTTTAACATTGTCACTTTTTGCACTAAAGTGCTTATCTCACCGAGTTAAGCACTTAGTGAAAATGTTTTACTTTTGCCACAATTCGAGTACTGTTCCGAAAAACTTAAAATTTCCAATGGAATAGTGTGGATATGAAGCTATCTGACCTTGCCTAACAAAAAAAATTACATCCTAACTTAACTTTTTAATACTGTCACTTTTTGCACAAAAGTGCTTATCTCGCCGAGTTGAGCACTTAGTGCAAATTTTTGACTTTCCGCCATATTTCGAGTACTTTTCTGAAAAACTCCAAACTTTCAATGGAATAGTGTTTGTTTCCGGCTATCTCACCGTCCCTAACAAAAAAAAAAACATTTTGAATCGACTTTTTAACATTGTCACTTTTTGCACAAAAGTGCTTATCTCGCCGAGTTGAGCACATAGTGCAAATTTTTGACTTTTCGCCATATTTCGAGTACTGTTCTTTAAAACTTCAAACTTTCTTTATCTCAACTTTTAACATTATTTTCAATGGAATAGTGTTTCTTTCAGGTTGTCTCACCGTCCCTAACAAAAAAAAATACATTTTGACTCAACTTTTTAACATTGTCACTTTTTGCACAAAAGTGCTTATCTCGCCGAGTTAAGCACTTAGTGCAAATGTTTGACTTTTCGACATATTTCGAGTACTTTTCCGGAAAACTTCAAACTTTCAATGGAATAGTGTTTGTTTCAGGCTATCTCACCGTCCCTAAAAAAAAGTACATTTTGACTCAACTTTTTAAAATTGTCACTTTTTGCACATAAGTGCTTATCTCGCCGAGTTGAGCAGTTAGTGCAAATTTCTGACTTTTCGCCATATTTCGAGTACCTTTCAAAAAAACTTTCAATGGAATAGTGTTTTTTTTTCGGCTATCTCACCATCCCTAACAAAAAAATTACATTTTGACAAAACTTTTTAACATTGTCACTTTTTGCACAAAAGTGCTTATCTCACCGAGTTAAGCACTTAGTGAAAATGTTTTACTTTTGCCACAATTCGAGTTCTGTTCCGAAAAACTTTAAATTTCCAATGGAATAGTGTGGATATGAAGCTATCTGACCTTGCCTAACAAAAAAAATTACATCCTAACTTAACTTTTTAACACTGTCACTTTTTGCACAAAAGTGTTGCTATGTGATATGATCAGTATACGCGCTGTCTCTTATACACATCTAGATGTGTATAAGAGACGGGTCATACACTCTCATGGATCTCAACAGAAACAAAGTGATTGACATACAACTTGTACAGGTAATGATATATCAACAGTCATATTATTTGATTAACTACACTTTGATTATCATTCAGCTTTACTAGGCCTAGCCCTATGTTTTTTTGGTTTTTTTTTGTTACCAGAAAAATGTGGTAGGTGGCAGCTATCATATGGAACTAGAAGGACTTAAGTTGGGAGTGGCTGCAATTGGAATGGAGCAACTAAAAATCCAAGCTCTTGTGACTGACAGGCATGCACAGGTTGCCAAATGGATCAGAGAGAACCTAAAAGACATTCAACATTATTATGATGTGTGGCATGTTGCTAAAAGTAAAGCATCTCTACTTGTTTGCTCTAATTACATTTATAATTTGGCCTATAGGCTATTTAATAATTATAGGCATGGCCAGGCCCTAGGCTGCCCTTACACGTAATAAATATTGTTATTTAGGCTTCTGTGGGGTTGTTTCTATCTCAGTTAATATGCAATTGTTCTGTAGTTAGGTATAGGCATATTGCTACAAATATACAAAAATAAGGTCTAGGCCTAGCCTATGTTAGCTAGATAAAAAAAAGGTGTGACTGCTTACCTTTTGAGGCCTGGTGCTGTATTCATCTATTCTACTATACTAAGCTAGCCTCTTTTTGCCTACACTTGTTGTATCTATCCTAGGCCAGGTTAATTATCAAAAGTATAAGCATCCTTCAATTGTTAAACAGTGTTAAGCATACTTCTTTCAAATTCAATATCAAACACATCAATGAATCCTTCAATGTAAAAATAAATCCAAAGCTTCCTTTCATAAATGAAACTGTATGTAAAGTTTTGTACTAAACTGTCATGCATGCTGTACCAACCATGTCTCTGCACTGGAACTTGAACTGTTGCACGCTGTGTATCATTTCGCGCGCTTTAACAATTATAACATTGTTACAATTTATTGTTGTGTTCCTCCCCTGTGTATGTAGTAAACAAATATTCAGGGATCAACTATTGAAGTAAACTTCCTAAATTTCTTTTATTGCAAAAAAACAAACCATACAGTAAAATAGTAACTATTTTATGCGTTGATATGATTAAAATAAATTATTTTCAATTTGTTTTTCATATTTTTTATACTGTTCCTACAGGCCTATAATTTTTTAGAAAATTTTATCATCATCTTCTTTATTCCACTCCAATTATTATTTTACAATTATTTTTATTCATTTAACCCTCCTATATTAGTATAAGTAAACCAAATAAAGTGCTCTTGGTTGGTTTTTGAATATTATGTTTAGCAATAACATTAGCATTTATCATTCTTTTGAACTATTTGTTCAGGCCTTGGAAAAAGAGTAAGAGCCATCGGGAAAGAAAAGGATTGTGAAGTGGTGCAGGAGTGGGCAAGAAGTATTAACAACCATGTTTATTGGGTAGCTTCGTCCACACCTAGTGGAGATCCAAATGAAATGCTTGGGAAGTTCATGAGCTTAAAGAACCATATTCAGAACATTCATACTGGGCATTCAGAGCACTTCCCAAATTGCCTTCATCCTCCCATACAGGAAAGAAATAGGAAGAAATGGCTAAAACCAGGTATAAAATATTTATTAAAAAATCTTCATTTTTTTAAATTACAGTACTGTACATGCTTACCGTAGTCGGAATTTTATTTTTATATCATATTTTATTACAGTATTATCAACATCATATAACATCACAAAAAATAAATGTAAAGATAAAATGTTAGTAATGGTTTTTACAGTTTAAATGTTATATTAATCTTTTTTTTTATTTTGTCATATGACAGGGTCAAAGGCATGCAAAAAATTGTCCGATCTTCTAGAAAAACGTCACTTTCTAAAGGACATACAAAAGCTTAGTCCACATCGGCAGACATCGGGTGTAGAGGCATTCCATGGGACTATAATTCACTTTGCTCCCAAAATGCTGGTGTATTCCTATAATGGCATGTTTACCAGGTAAGAGTTAAGCTCCATCTACACTATCAAACTGTATGTGCAAGAAAAATGTGATATGACATCAAGACAAATTTGTTGCATAAAATATTATACTGTGGACAGAGTTAAACATACACTTTGCAATCATCAACCTTGCGTACCAATTGCTATATGGAAAACTTGTCAAACATATGTCATTTTATTTTTAAGGTGATAATAGCAGCGTTGCATTATAATGAAAATGCAGGCAGAATTGCTTTAAAAGATGGAAAAGGAAATGACAGATATTCCGTAGTTTATCCAAGAGCTAAAAGTGGTGGATATACATTGCAAAAAGTGTTGACTGAGGCTACTTATGGTAAGCTTAACTTGCAAATTTTTAGTTGCTTATGAAAATGTAGTTAAGTCATGTGATCTTTCAATACAATTTAAACTCCA